GGGTTGGTCTGTCTTGGAGGGCAGCAGGACTGACCCAAGGTGAGGAAGCTGCACCAATCCCAAAAGGTTGCATCTGTTCAGTGTGTGTAGTCTGGAGAAAAGATGCCCAAGGAGGGACATGCTAAGAGCCTTCAGACAGGTAGAAGATGCGTTCTGGGGAGAGGGCACAGTCTGTTCTCCAGACCTCCAGCTGGAACAAGAAGTCATAGGGTTAAATTGTGGCAGCTGAAATGTAGGGTTGAGATTAGGAAGATGCTTTCCAAGTGCGGGGTTATCTGTGGCACTCATGGTTTCGTTTGAATTTGAGTTGAGGTCCCTGACCCTGGAAGGGGAGGGTTAGGCACACAACTATTAGGGTGGTATAGGTAGAACTGTGCTGGTGCTGGGGCTGGGACATGGTGGAGAGACACCTTTTTTTTTCACGTTCAATGCATTTTGGGTCTCTCAGTTGCTTCTTGGTCTTTGGAAAGCTGTTTAGCTCAAACCACAGACCTGGCAAAGATGTGGCAGTGCATGAGATCTTCTTCTGTTCCCACTGGAGAATGTTTTCTAGGATATCCCTCTCTGTACTATCATTCAGCAGTAGATGTTTAGATGATGGACCACCCACTGCTTCCCTAGAGAGACTGAAGATACCTGAGTCTCTTTGAGCCTGACTGTGGATGCAGCAATTGCTGTGTGATCTCCTCTGATGTGCGTCTTTGAGGTGGTTTCGTGGAGGGGCCCCACCAGGGAGAACAAGCAAGGGGCATTGCCACATTTAAGAATGGGGGCAAACAGGCTGCAAAATAATTTAATCTGTGATTTTCAAGGTTTTCTAGCCTCTGAGCAGGGAGGTTCAGGGATGGCCTCCCCGGGGGAGCGAAGGGCAGAAGCTCAGCTTGTTTTAATAAGGTTTCTGATATGTTTATGAGCAGGATTTATGACGTGGTGCCTGGCGGGAACGGGATGTGATGACTGAGCAGAGCCCTTCCAGTCTTGCATTCCCATTATAGCGGGTCTTTATGGTTTAAAGTCTACAACTTTCTCTGCTGGGATCTCTTGTCTGCTGTTCAGTCTTCATTTATTTCCAGTTAAACACTCTGACCCAGCCAAAATTATTTTCTTCTTGCTTTCCAGTACTCACAGATAGCAATCACACACACACACACGTTGCTCAGCCAAGTTACATGCTTGTTCTCTGTTTCACTGCACGGAGGTTTTGCCCATCTTCTTTTTCCAGGCAGTTTCCATGACTGTCGTCCTCTTCCTCCTTTGTACCTAGTAGCTTGGAGAGAAACGCTGAGCGATTTCTATTTGCAAAAGGGATCCTGATCGAAGGGGAATTGCTGCGATGCATTGGTCGGATGGGGAAACCATTGCGGCTGCTGGGGCCAGAGCTAGCAGCTGGGACCCCTGGGTCCCTGCTCCTCCTTCCCAATGCTGTTGGCCATTGAGTGGCTCCAGCATGAAGCTCTGAGGTTGTTAAATACCTGTTGTGCCTGTGAGGACGGGTGGTTCCTTCCCTGTTGAGAAGGTAGGGCTGCCTCAATCGATGCAAAGAGCAGCCCTGGAGTGAGTGAAGTTTAATGGTCTGGGATGGAGCTTTTCCTGCACCGGGACCCCGCGGTGGCAGGGATGAGGGTGGTGGGCTGTGGTTGTCCCTCTTCATGTCACACTGAGCCTGCAGAGCTGAACGCTTGTCTTCCCATTGCTGAAAAAGCCTGGCTTTGCATCCCTTTAAATTAGGATTTCCATCCCCTCTCTGAGAAGAGTAGCTCAGGACTGCCCCAGAAAGCACGGGGGAGAGCAGAATCAGGCCTAAAATAACTGTTCTACTAAAATAAACCCCACGAGTCTATTTATAGCCAAACTTTCTTTCGAGTAGTGTAAAAAGCTTCAGCATCCAAAATGACGGAGAGAACAAGGCTAAATTCAGCAGAGCTGGGCTCCTCTACGTTCCAAGGACCACAACCAAAGGCAATAAATCTCCTTCCAAAACCATGGGGGATTCTTAATTACTCCAGATTCATAAAAAAATTAAAAAATTAGCAGCTCTTCTTTACCAAGGATGTTGAAAAAGTCACGTAGGGTCCCGCCGGTGCCCTTGGTGTGGGTCTCCCCACCGTTGCACCCCATGTGGGAAGGGGGCTTGGGCTGGGGCTGAGCCCACCCGCGGGGCTCAGCCGGGCGTGCTGCCCAGCCACAGAGCTGGCTCCTGTGCTGCGGGCTCATCCCTTTGCTTCGCTGACGTTGCTCCTCCGGGAAGGCAATGGGAGCAAGATGGGAAGCAGGGAATCCAGCCTGGGCTTTGCAGTGATGATGGCACCAAGGTCCCTGCAGCGGGTATGGGGGATCCAGGTGGAGAAAATCCCACTTCCCCATT